ATAGATAGATAGATAGATAGGATTTATCAGTTGTACTGTTTGCTGCACTCACATCTTCATCCTGAGCAGTGAAATGTGGTCCTGTGGTCTTGTTCACTGCCATAATAACTCCCACCAAGTCTTTGCCATTGAGAATAGGCGCTGCCAGCACGCACCTGGTCTCATATTCTGTTAGTTCATCAACAAATGAGCTGAAGTGCTGGCTCTGAAAATGTAGAAACATCAGACACATATAACAAAGTTGTAGTTTTTTATGGACTTCTGAACATTTCACAAAAATGTTAATCTAATAAATTATTTTTGGGTACTTCAGGGATTTTTTAAAGAAAGATTTTTTGCATTCTAAACAGTTGTTGGTAAATACGCCGAAGCTATTATCTCACGTCTAATTTTTTTTTATACTGTAAAGATGGAATGCTAGATTCAGGTAAACCTATTCTTTGTTTTTTATTCCTTCGAATGCACAGACTGCAAAGAGTTGAGGCATACTAATTTTGATCTGTTTTAGATTCCTGCTGACATGTTGGTTGAATGTGAGCACTATTTAATCCAGAGCTACAGCAGAGGCTGATGGGATCTGAGTATAAATGGATTATGTCTGACAATGGGATTTACTGCCATACTTTGTTCAGAGCTACTGTTGTTCTGAGGGGCGCACACCTTTACCATAACCTAACTAACATTTTATCCTGATAATGGAGCAGAATAATTCAGGACATGTGGGCTAGCACAGAGCACCAAGCATATTGTTTTGGACATAACTATGCAAAGAAACTTTGTATTGACTCTACAAGCACAAGTGCATTTATTAACCTGATTTTAAAAAGTAATTTAAATTTTAGGCTTTTGTGAAAAAAAAAAAATCCACCAAAGTGCATAATGATAAAAAAACAGGGATGTTTTCGAACAGAAACCGTGTAGCTCCAAAGTTAAACTTGTCAGATGAAAAAAAAGATATATACATATTTTGCTTCTAAGGTTCAAAAGATAAAAATTCTACACAGTAAAAATAAAGGTATCCAACTTTCTTCCTAAAAGTGACATAATAAAACACACTTACCATTATTCACATGGGTATATTGTTAATAATAATATAGGCCAAATATATGATAATACTAACAAATAATGATTTCATCTGTAAATGTGGAAACAAATAAGAGGCAGTTGTGCTGTTCACTATTTTAAAGCATTGTTCAGATATAAATGATGGAATTTTTGCTTTTGATACCAAAGAAAAAAACGTTTCATAATAGTTTAAATATCTGTTTAATTTTCTTTAAGATTATTTTCAGGTGTTTTATTGGGAGATGAGCTGAATACCTGATATGAAGTTGTGTAGGGCCCAAAAGTAATTTGACTTGAAGTCAAAATACTTGAGCTTATTATTTGGAATCCACCAACAATATTTTTAATTCCTGTATTTCCCTCTTTTTTTAAATCAGTAAATTGTTAGTGAAAAACAATAGAATAAAGTTAAACATTATTGTCACTACACTGTCAGAATAGAAAGCAACAAAATGAACTGGGAGCAGTAGGCTGCCATTGTTTGGCGCCCAGGGAGCAGTGTGGGGTTAAGGGTGTTGCTCAGGATCCCAGAGTGTCAGTATGTGGGAGTGGTGCTTGAACTCAGAATCTCTGGGGTCCAAACGCAATGCCCTAATCACTGGGCCGCCACTCCCCAACTTCAGTCCTTGAGCACCGTTGCCCTCCAAGTTTTGTCTTTGTCTCTAGTCCAACGCACCAGAACCAAATGGCTGCAGTAGCTTCTCAGTATGCAATCTCTTCAGTCCTACCAAATGTCTAATTATGTGATTCAGGTGTGCCCCCAAGTACTGGAGTTGGCCTTTCTTGATTATTAAACAAAAGTAGTAGGCATTGTGTCTTTTAACAACACTCTGAAGTATTTAGGTTTGACTTTTTATGTAAAGAACCAGCATATTTGAGGCCACTTTTTGGCCATTAAGACCCTAAGTAGCAGCTTAGTTTGCTTAGCCTCAGCCCATGTGCCTCATCATAACTGGTGCGTCTTTTTGCTCTGACTCACAAACGTCTGTCTGTCTCTCTGTCTGTCCCCCCCACCCTACTTTACCTGTTTGACATCTTTTACATTGACGTTCTTCTTGGTGAGGGCTACATTGCCAACTATTCCCAGGTCAAGAGGATAGACGATCTCTGAATCTGGGGGCACCACACAGTCCTCCAGGACTGAACTTGTTGAGACGTTAAAGAGCCTCGTTGCAAGCTCTCCAATGCCGTTCCGCTGCCGGTACATGAAGAGGCTGCAGCGGTCAGCTTGAATGAGAGCTCCAAGTCGCTTCAGGATCTTGAAGATTACTTTTTCCATGTTGATGCTCTCTTGCATGTCTTTGATCAGGTCAAACATTATTCGGCTTTCTTCAATCTTTAAAAAAAAAATAAAATCATTATTTTTTTCTTTAATTCACAAAGATCGATCTGTTTTTATTTTAAATAATCAACAAACGTCAAACTTACCCGGCAAAGCTCCTCTAGCTTTCCAAAGTCAACTTCTTTCTCTGGGAGTCCTGATATCTTTGATATTGAAGAAGGGCTCATTGTTTTGGCAAAATACTTTGTAGCAAATGCAGGATTGTCCTGGAGGAACTTCTCCACGTCTGCTTGTTGTACACCCATTGTTTCTAGTTTCTCTTCTCCTTACAGATATTCCTTACCCTCTCCCTCCTCTGCTTAATGGAGCTCCAACGCTGCTCTTATGGAGCAACCACTTCAACAAGAAACCACGAATAAGCAAAACAAAAGTTATGCACCAGATACCTTTTATCTAAATTAACAAATCTTACCCAGGTGATGCACAGATTTGGGTAAAAATAGGTGAACACATTCAAATGCAGGATAAAAAAAATGTAATAATCCCCCTGTTAGTAGGATGAGTGGACTGCAAGAGGGAGAGCCCTGAGGAGTAGTCAGAGGGCAGAATCCCAGCAATCCCTCTGTCATCAGCAGATAGTGCTGAAGGTTAGCAGGGATCTACCTATACTAAACTCATCAGCTGATCATGTAGTAACAGATATGTGGGCCAAAGGACCCAGCCTTCGCTCTGCAGCAGTGCGTTCAGATCAAAATCTGTCTGAGTCTAGTCTTCAGACCAGATCTTTTAGTAAAAGGGAAAAAATATTGGGTGTTTTTATACAGAGTAGCAACAAGATTGAAAACCGTAATTTCCTGAATATTTGATAAAACATGTTAAAATAAGTTACTAATGCAACCCCATCAGTTTCAGTTCATCTAAATATAAAGCACATTTCCACAATACAAATTATATTCAATTTAAACAATGTTTTTCTAAATGTACATATGTTTCATGTGTTCAATATGATTCATCTGTTAACCTGTAAAATATGTTAAACTCTATTTAAAGGGTTCCCAGCCGCATGAGCCCGTTTTCTTCAGATAGAGACTTTGAATCTTACACACTGACTACTTATCTTTTCTTTAAGCAAATTTATTCCCTTATTGTGACTTAAAGTGGATGTCCTGCATTTCCAAAGGAAAATTAATCCTTTCATTCAGAGCTGGGAGGACCTGTCTATTATAAGGCTTCATAAAGACCTTAAGGAAAAGGTCAGAAAGATAATCTCCAGCCACCATAATAGGTAACGACAGGTGTGTATGCATCTGTGTGTGTCTGAATGTTTGAGAGTTAGTTGCCCAGCTTTGACTTGCATTTGAAGTTAAGTGATTTGAGGACATAGTAGGAATCATTGTTGTGGGACCTTTAACTAAAATTATTGAGTTATATACTTGGAATGTAATTGAAACCATGTGCTTTGAACAAGTGGGGCTAAAATGTACAGTAACATTCCAACCTATCAGTTGAGGCAAATTGATAAAAGAAAGCTGAACTGGTGAAAAAGACACCTAATGCCCACTGTTCAATATGCTGGAGGATCTGTAATACTGTGGGCTTTTTTCTCTGCCAATATATACTCGTGGACTTTTAAATACCCTGGGATTTACAGCACAATTCTAAGAGTCCACCATATTTTTCTTTTTATGTCCTTTTTAATTTTTTTATTTATTTTAGGCTTATCATATATAGCAGATAGTTGTCTACATATGTCAAGGCAGTTTTACTCAACAAAAAGGATATATCAAGACATAATGCTTGATCATGATAGGCAGAGCACATTGATTTTATAGTAACCTTTGCTAGTGTGACCGTAGAGTTTGTTCTTTATTCTTTGAGTAACTTCAGCTATTCAAAGATACAAAAATACAGTAAACCGTGGATTTTTTAGTTGGAGGTTCTTTATTGATTTCTAACATATAAGCATTACCTATATTGAAAGGATTGGTTGTTTAAATTTATGTTGAAAAAAGTGTTTCTTCTGAACACATTTGTTATTTTTTAATCATGTGATTTACTTGTATTCCTTTAAATTTTCTTATATGTTGAAATGCCAGAAATCGCTCAGATTTGTTTAATGTCAAATTAGAGGCTATGGTTCAACAATTACTCAGAACTTAAATTGGGATTTTACCTAGTACTTTTTTTTTTTTTAACCAAGCACTTACTTGAGTAAATGCTTGTAGGATCACTTTCTACTTGTACTTCAGTTAAAGTAGTTGTACTCCTACTTGAGGCAATTTTTAGGTACTCTACCTACCTCTGGTACCAACCTCCAATAGATATGGACCCCAGTGTTCAATTACCCAAACTTCTATCAGTCCACATAAGATTATTAAACTGTATTTCTACCTACTTACTATTAGACATGGAAGGTAATTTGTTTTTCCAGTTGTTTTTGTGATTTGATTATGAAGTGGCCTTACTGTAGTTGCACTACTTATAGGGAACAGTGGATGGCAGCAGACACATTTATAAGTACTCAACCTTTTGCATGCTTCACATCCAAAAAGGTAATTTTAGCCTTCAAATTACGAGAAACATACGAGTCAAAGTTGAGATATTTTTTCAATCTTGGGAGTAAAGTAACTTCCTGTTTGTATAAAATCACAGTTAACACTGAAAACTGACAGTAACCACACACAAAAAAGTGGATAGCAATATTTGTAGCTAGAAAAAATATTTAAATCCCAGAGCTGACATGAAAAAAATACACTTTTTTTGTCAATGAACCGTATATGATAAAATATCATGTAGTAGCATCTCTTTTTAGCTGCATAAATGGAGGTTAGATGTAGTTAAGTTGTGTCTTTTGATAAATAGTCTGTTTTAATAGTGCAAATGGTTGTTCAACAGTCAAGTGAATGGATTCATAGATTGTTGTGTATGTGTGTGTGAATTCCTATAGCCATGGGGTAAAAGCTGTGTTTAAGTCTGATTGTGGCAGCTTATGATTCTGAGATTGCCAGAGGAAAGGGTGGTTTAAAAAGAGTTTCTTGGTCATCCTGAATCTTTGTGGCTCATCGGAGGAGAGAACTTAAGTAGTCCACTAAGCAGCCATGATGATCAGCTCTGCTTGTTTGTTTTTAGATGCAGTGCAGATGGTATAGTACACTGTACATCCATAGGTCATGTCCATGGGGTGGTGTTAAGTGTGCGGTGGTAAAGGTTTTTCAGCAGAGGTGAAGAGAACTTGTTCCTGTTCAGTATTTTGAGGAATAAAAGAGTCAGATGAGTCTATTTAGTAACGTTAGTGATCTAGAGTCCTAAAAACTTAGGGTATGTGAACCAGACTGCACTTCCTGTAAAAACAAATAAATTCCTATTCAGGAACAACATTCAACATTATCGAGTGAGTTTCCTGGACCTTCTATTAATTTATTTTAATTGGTGAAAGCTCTGATAACTTCCATGCTTTTGTTGTGACCCAATTCTTTGAGGTCTTATATTAACTTTCCACAAAGCATTCATTGTAACTTCTACAACATATTAAACCAATTTTATATTGAGGCCTTGGAGTTTGCATTGAACACTTAATGCATGCCTGTGTTTTGTCAACAATCTATTTCAGGCAGTGAAAGTAGGATTAACATCCTGCAGCAGTCAATGGAAAAAAATAGATCAGTAGTCTTGACTGTCTACATCCTCACTGATGAGAGCTCTTACAGGCCTCACCTTTCTGTCTGTACACATAGCAGAGATTAGAAGTTGTGCTTGATTATAGGCACCTATAGATAAGTTAGGAAGATAAGACATGACAATGTATACTTATACATATAATCTAAGAATAATGACAAAGCCAGAAATGGGACCGACTGACTTTAATTGCATAAAAAAAAATGTTTTATTTACCCTCTTTTTGTAGTTAAAGCTACCAGTGATATATTACACACTTTGTTAATAGGGCCACATTTACTTCTTTTATTTATCTATTTGTCAAGCTGTACTATTTGGGCTTGTTTATAGACAACTTCTTACAGGATTAAACCTTGGTTCCTCAACAAAGAAACAAAGCTGGCAGAAAGGCTCGTTCTAATTATTCTACCTGATGAGAGTGAGGTGAAGTGATGTCCTTAAAGTAAACTCTGCTATGTGTCTAGTGAGCCAGAAATAGCTGTATTTGTTTCTGTAGCTCTCCTTTCATGATTCCTTTAGGAAAAGTGTTTAAGAATACCTCTCGTTTTTTTTTTTTATCAGCTGTCTAAAAAAATGATCTGGTTTTATTTTTGTAAAACTGTCGAGTTAGGAAAATGTATGTAAGCATATTTATATGAGTGTTATTTTTGGTAGTTTTTTTCTGTACTTTAGAAATGACCTGCTATTATTTCTAGTTTACAAAGAGTTTTTGGATATGATTTACTCAGACTTATTGCTTTTAAGGCTTGTGAAATCCTAAGATGAAAAGAGAGATAAAACTGGATTTGAAACTAATAAATAATTTCATAATTTTTGCTTACAATCTCAAAAAAATTGTAAGAAATTTCAAAAAGTAAAAGCTGTTATAGAAAATGGTGAGCCTGTTTATGTCATTGTACCCTTATTTAATTCTCCTATTACAATGTTTACATTAATTAAGCAGCAAATGCGAAATGGTTAGCACTTTTTCTGACTTATAGGTGAACTTATATTCTATTCATTCAATGCATATGTATTTAACATATATATGTGTTATGTACTTCAGTCCGTTTTTATGTTGTTCTTACAGTGCTCTATTAATAAAAATTTTATGGTAAAACATGGGCTGAAAAGCACTTCATTAGGAAGATTCATTAATTTATAGCAAAATCAGAAGACATTCATATTTTCAAATGATCACACAAATAAGTGACTTATCTCTTTGGAGATTTGTGGTCTGATAAACCTAAAAGTAAAGTTCTAATAATACCCATCTTTAAAGCTAAAGGAAAAAAAGACTAATTGCTGATGTAAAATAAAAAAAAAATTATAATGCCCTCACCTTGATGGCTTTGTTTTATTTCATTTTGCTGCAATGTGACTGGTGCTCTTAGTAAAATAGATGATAAAGCTCAGGTCTGTTTTTAAATATGTTGATGAAAACATGTAATAATCTTGAGATGTTGCTTCAACATTTCAAAACATCAGCCATGAATGTAAAGTTTGGGAACAACAAATCTTCCAAATGGACTATTACAATACAGCACCAATTAGTTACTACGGTAACTGGTTTACAGACAACACAATCAGTGTGTTTAAATGGGACTAAAAAGGCTCTGATCTCATTATCCTTGGAAAAATGATGAGAACA